AATAATTTTAAAAAAATTTTATAACAAAGTTATTAAAACAAAACTAAAAATATATTTTTTACTTAGAAAAGATATAGTTAAAATTAATATTTAAACTTTTATTAAGAATTTTAAAAAATGCAGGCAAATTTGTCTGTGTTACAGATGAAGGGATAAAACCAATATGGGTAGTGCTTAAGAAATACTTCAAGTTGGTTACTGTTATTGAAATGATATTTATACCTATTCCTAAGAGTTAACTTGCATAGAATTTTCTAATAAAGAAATGAATTGTATAGGATCTATAATAATAAAAGATCAAGATACTAGTAAAGATAAAGTTAAAATATATTCTTTTTTACAAAAATTATCCATTAGTACTAATTTGGAAGACTATGATGAAACAATATTGCTACTCGAGCTTCAAAGTCAAGAATTAGTCTTATATCTTGACACATCCTTAAGAGAAAACAAAAATATTAGTGTAATATTGCACTTAAACAAAAATCAAATAATTAATTTAAATTGTTTTTGAATTTTGTTGAAGTTATAAAATTATTGGCAACTCAAAAATTAGATAAATTAGAAGATGTAAAATTAATACTTACAACAAAGAAAACCAAGTATGCACAAAAGATCTATTATTCTGATAATATTATATCTACAAAATTTTCAAAGTATTATTAATAATTCCAATCTCAACAAATCTGATCTTGACAAAAGTTTGGAAAAGCTAAGAAAGATTAACCAAAGTGAAAGTTTTAGTGAAGGATATAATATCAAAGACTCTAAATTATATTTGGACAAAACTGCTAATTTATTAAATAAGTCAAGGATATATAAAAGGCTTAATAAAATATGCAGCTCTATTAGTAAATTTGAAACCTATACTGGAAGCATTGAAAAAAGCCCAGACCTAGAAGAAAAGGATCTTAAAGAATTAAATAAGAAATTAAAAACCAAAATGCAAACAAATAGTAGAGTTTAGAATAGAAAAATATTGTCAGAGTATGGATCCAACTATATACCTTCAAAACAAATTCTTATTGAAAACAGTAGAGAATTTGACAAATTTATTGAATGATTTACAAGAAAGTTAAAGAAAGAAAAGACCAAAGTTAGACAATATAGACAAAGCAAAACAATCTTAGATCAAACAAATAACAATAAACTTATGATTAAAAACCTAGAATATTTAAGTACTTCAAGTAACAGAACTATCAACAGCTTTAAAAAATTTTAGAATAAGTGTAGTAAAAAAATATTAGGTCTAAACAAAAAAACTCATAAGAAAGTTAAAGAGTTAACTTATTATACAATATATAATAATGCTTTTACAACTATCCAGAATCTTGAAACCTAATAAAGAAAAATCTTCTTTTCTGATTTAGTAGTAAGTTTGAAGCTTACTCATAATAGAGCCAAGAATAAAAAACTTAATAATCGAAATGGCCAAAAAAAACAAACTAATAATCATCAAAGAGTTTTAACAGACAAGATAGAAAATCTTGGAACTTCCAATAAAACAACTAAAGATATTGAACTTCAAGGCTTTGAAAATTTTGAAGATAATAGAAATATTTGAACTATAATAGATAACAGTGATCAAGAAATTAATAGAGTCAAATATGATAGATTGAAGATTATCAATGATAAAATTCAAGATCTAATGAATCACATGCTTAATCAACAGACGAAATTAAAGAATAACCAAAGTGAATACATAGCTGCACTAGCTAAAAAAAAGAAAACTTATTCATCCCTTATAAACTTACTGCTTAAATTCTTGATAAAAATAAATGAATTAAAAAGAATCTATAATTTAATTTCTTGAAAAATAACTCACTCTAGAGTTAAACATATGATGGATAGTATAGATCTAATTTCTCTTGTATTTAATAATAATTTGCCACTGCTACTTAGAAGACTAAATGAAGTTCTTACCCAATTAGATAATGAGATGTTCAATGAGAGATACCCATTAACCTTAGATAACAAAAAGTTTAAATGATTGTACAGATATCAAATATTATGAAACTATTCTTGTTTATTAATACAAATATTATCTAGTTTCATCAAGATACAGGCCTGAATCTAATAGACAAATAGAAATTTGTAAAATGTGAAAACTTCAAATAAAGAGTATTTATTTATTGATTATATCTACAAGGATATAATAAAATACAATGCAAGTTGCACTGTGTATAGTTAAAAGTTAGAATATTTTATCCTTTGTATAAGTCACGAATCTAGCCTAGTACTGGTGAGAATTAAATAAATACTATACAACAAAATGGGTAAAATTATACACTGTTAACAAAAATAGATACTATGCAAAATAAAATATTTAGTGAAAACTTATTCATGAAGCTTATAATTAGCAAAAAAGAAATTGTTATATTTAAAATTTCTCTTCTATAGATTACTTGATACTGCAGCTATATATATCCATAAATATGCATGATCTGTATAACAAGGTAAAGGTAAACAAAACATGTATCATGTTATATTAAAGAATCATACAATCATATTTTAATAGTTTACTCTAATATAAAAGATTAATTAAATAGTATTAGTTTTTTTTTTTTTTTTTTGTTAAGTGTCCGGAGACTAGAGTTTATTGACGTTTTAAATATAGAAGATCACAAGGACCCTCATATAAATTGCATTTACAGTATCGAATTTAATCTAACTAGTCTATATCTGACATATATTTAACCCTAGTACCTTTATATCCAGAACTGCTATATACTTTATCTATATTTGGTAAACTAATTATCTTACCTAGATAGGCATAAACTGCATATGCCCAAATAGTATTAGTTAAATATAAAATATACTAATAAAAAGATAAAGTTTTAAATAATACCTTTCTTGAATTATGTATAAATAGATCTTATATTTGCCTTTCTCTTATAGTAGACCTTGCTCTCATTTACAGTGTCTGACAAAAGTATCACCTCTGTAATTTTTTAACAATCACATGCAGGATCTTATTGTTTTGCATATATGTAGTATAGACCAAATATAGATCACAGTTGTATTTTGAAGGAGTATATATTAGTAAACAATGAAAGTTCTATTATACCCAAAAAATGATCTTAAAAAATGCTTTTAGCTTTAAATTAATGATATAAAATTGTCTTTTTGCATACTCATTTAAAAGGCCCCAAGCTGTCAATACATGAAACAGCAAAAGCAGTTTATTGTGATAATAAAACAGTTTATTATTAGGTTAAAAGGTGAAAAAAAACAAAAATTTAAGTGATAAACCAAAGTCAGATCAAAATAAAGTGACTACCCAATAGCAAGACAAGAATATAGTAGGGCTTGCAAAAAAAAAATCAATATAATGGCCCAGAAATTCAAAAGGAGATAATTAAACAGAATATTAATATTAGTATATACACTATACAATGTCACCTTTGTGAAAAGAAGAACAGATATATGAACAAGCTTTCAAAACCCCTTCTCACAGAGAAACATTGGCAAAAATAGCTGGAGTGAGCAAAAAAATATAAAAACTACAATTGAAACAAGATGATTTTTCAGATAAAAGCACCTTTCATCTAAATCAAGACAAAAAATAGACCTGGCAATTTTCTGAAAAAAGAAAAGTAACCTGTTCTGTAAAGCATCCTTTAAAGATCCATGTATGGGTATGTTTTTCATTCATGGGCTTTGGCAAGCTGTTTTGCTTCATGTTGAATCTCAATACCAATTTTCTGCTAAATATATATAAAACAGCCCTTCTGCTATCTGCTGACCAACTTTTTGGTCAAGAAAATTATAAATAGGTTCTTCAAGAAGACAATGATCTCAAGCATCATTCAATAATTGCAAAAGCTTAAAAGAAGAAAATAGGTATAAAAGTTTTTCTATAGCTGTTGATGTCCCCTGATCAAAACCTGATTGAAAATATTTGGGGCTCATGAAAAATAACCTGCCAAAAAAAAAAATTAGAACTGTTAAAGGTTTGAAAGGAGAATTGCAAAAAGAATGGAACTGGTTGCTGAATGAATATGTGGCTAGATTAGTCTCGAGTGTAAAAAAGCATGTAGAAGCCTTAATTGAGGCTGAAGACAATTATATTATGTATTAATTTGTTGTATTAAATAAGCACTTTTAAATAAAAAAAAGATTTTTTATTTATTTTATCTCTTTGTCAATCTAGAAGGGGGGGAATACTTTTGACACACACTGTAATTATCTCAATAAATATATTATTACAACTACTTGTATATAGATTGTTATCTCTTTTGATAAAGCCTTATAAATTCTCTTTGTTAAGTCATATATTCAATGCTATATTAACTCATCAGATTATCATTGTTATAGTCTTCATTGTGTCCTTTGAAGAGATTAAGTTTAGGTATGACACTGTAATTTCTTTTTTATATATATTATATAATATGCGAGATAATCAATTTTTTAAATACTTTATAGCATTTACTATATATATATATTTGATTGTATATACATACATACATACATTCATATAATATACTATATATTAGATATAGTTTAATTGTATATATGTACATATGTTCATATAGTATACTACATATGTATACAATCTAAATAGTGAATTTGAAACCGCTAAATATAATTTGAAAGCCACAAAAGTCTAATACTATCAACTTTCTCTAAATGCAATTTGTAAGACCAAACACTTGGCAATTTGCATTTAGAGAAAGTTGATTGTAGTTTGCAATAATTAACCTCTTTATAATTATAAAAATATTTTTTATCCATTAAGAAAAAAAAAAATTAATACAAATGAATCAATACATATAGCTTATAATTATATCAAATATAAATACAATATATCTATATATTTATTTTATATATAATTGATATTATTAGAAGTAATGTTGTGGTAAAATTTACTAAAAACTATCAAGCTTTAGCAAACTTTAAAGTCACGAGTGTCGAGTGAACTATCTTTTAT